ACAAATGCATAATGTCATGTATTCACCATAATATTATTATACAGAATAGTTTCAGTGCCATAAAAATGCCCTGTGTGCCACCTATTCATTAATACTCCCCTCCCATAACCTTGGCAACCACTCATTCTTTTACTGCTGCCATGTTTTTTTGTTTGTTTTTTTCTTTTCCAGCATGTAATAATTTAGAATTAAACACTATATAGCATTTTTAAAAAATTATTTATTGTGAATTATGTGATGGTTTACATGGGAGAACATTAGTTTTACATTCATTCTATTGTATATCGTCTCATTGCCATGGTTACATGCAATCCTTCCATGCAATCCTTCCCCCGTACACCCCAGGTATTCAGGACACAGTCGCTCTCCCTCTCTGGATCCAAGTCTCCAGCTGCTCCATCACTCCACGTCATCATCTCTGGCTCTATTTCAGGCATCACTGCTTCTCTGGGTAGGGTCCTGCTCTCTGCTCTTCTCCCTTGATGGTCCTCGGGACCTCCGCTCCCAGACCGAAAAGTCATTCACTCCCTCCTTGCTATAAAACGTCCACCTTTATACTTCAAACCCTCATAGTCAGTCCTGATAACAATCATTCACCATTGTATCACAAGAGACCCGTCTGCATTTCATTGTATCAGCCCCACCTAGTCAGATTGAACACTACTCACTGGAGATTCTATCTTCCTCCAGGCCCTCTGGGTCTACTATATAGTCTTTTAAGACTGGCTTCTTTCACTTAGCAGTATGCATTGGAGGTTTCCCTCCATTTCTTTGTGTATGTGTGTGGATTGATAATTCATGTCATTTTTGTAATTGAATAATAGTTTATTATATTGAGGTACCACTGTTTATCCATTCACGTAGTGAAGGATACCTTGGCTGCTTCCAACTTCGGGAAATATTGAATACTGTTGCTATAAACATTCATTTGCAAGTGTTTGTGTGGATAGGTTTTCAGCTTATTTGGGTAAATACATAAAGGTGCAGTTGCTGGATTATATGGTAAGACTATATTTACTTTTATAAAATGTGCCAGACTATCTTGCAGAACAGCTTTACTAGTTTGCATTTGTGCCAGCAGTGAATGAGATTTCCTAGTGTTCAGCATCTTCACAAGCATTTGATGTTATCAGTATTTTGGATTTTAGTTATTCTAATAGATGTGTGTAGCAATGATTGTGAGGTTGGTGTAGGACTGGGCAGTGTTTCGTTCTGTTGTGCATAAGGTTGCTCTAAGTTGGTACAGACTCAGTTGCACCTTACAATAATAGATGTGTGGACTCCTGGTATGGCACTATAGGATATGTGCTAGATGGCTTACCTCAACGTTGGTGCTTCAAAACTACCAACTGCTCCTCAGAAACCCTGTAGTGGGTTGCTATGAGTTGGAACAACAACAGTAATTGGTGTGTAGTGGTATCTCATGGTTTTAATTTGCAATGACCTGAGTGGGAGAAATATGAAACTTTCTGCTCTCATGAAGATTTACAGCCTCAGAAACCCTGTGTGGGATCTCTATGAGTCAGAACTGACTTGGTGGCAAGGAGAAATTACATATATAATGGAGCATCCATTCATATGGTTATTTTCCATCTGCTTATCTTCTTTTGTAGATGGGTTCTGTTCATATCTTTTGCCCATCTTTTAATTCATTTGTTTGTTTCCTTATTGTTGAGTTTTAAGAGTTCTTGATATATTCTGGATACAAGTTCTTTATCAGATGTTTGTTTTGCAAAATATTTTTCCTAGTCTGTGTTTTTTCTTTTAACAGTATCTTTCACAAAGTTGAAAATGTAAGAGGTTCAAGCTGCCAATAAGAGTCCTGGTGTGGCTCTGTGGGTTAATGCACTAAACTGCAAAGTCAATTTAAACCACAAGATTGGCGGTTCAAAGTCATGAGCTGCTCCTCAGAAACCCTATACTGGGTCACTGAGTCAGAACCAGCTCAACCGCCCTTAACAACAAGCTACCAATGTTTTTCTTTCCTGATTTATATCTTTGATGTCATAGCAAAAAATTCAACACAAAATTAAATTTTCTTTTATATTTCATGTATAAGCTCTGTAGTTTTGCATTTTACATTTAGGAATATGATCCATTTTACAGTAATTTTCAGCGTCAAGATTTTTTTTTTTTTTTTGTATGTGGATGTCCAGTAGTTCTAGCAACCACTGTTTTACAAAAACTAAAATTAAACACTATCTTTTCTCCAGTGAATTGCCTTTGCTTCTTTGTCAAAGATCACTTGACTATATTTGTGGGAACCAATTCAGTGACACCTAACAACAACAACTGTTCTGTTACATTTATCTATTTGTCTGTTCTTTTGCCAATACTGCAAGTATCTTGATGACTGTAGCTTCATAATAAGTCTTGAAGTGAGGCAGCATTGCATTTTTTGAAAGGTTAGATAGATGTCATGAAGGGTGGTAAAGAAGTTTTCTGATGACAGTCTACTTGGAAAGAAATTATATATACCAGGCTTCCTTTCTTTATGTTATAGTTGTTGTTAAGTGCCATCAAGTCCATTTTGACCATAGCAAACCTGTATAAGGTTCCCAAGGAGCAGCTGGTGAGCTTGAACCACTGACTTTGTGGTTCAAACTGACCTTGCAGTCCAGTGTTTATCTTACAGCACCACACCAGAACAGAACTACTCCTTTCTTTATAGAACTATTCAATTTTTGCAAAAGACAAAGAAGAATAGTCTAATCTTATTTCTGGTAACAGAAAACAGGGATTGAACATTATCTTTTTTTAAACCTACAAATATGTGAATGCAGTTTAATCACTCTTCAGACATTTTTTAATGAATAGTTTTAATTCCTTCTCTTCTTCTTTTCAATTACCTTTACAATTTTAATATATCCTCTTACCTTAGAGCAACCATAACTACACAGAGCATTCCAGTAAGGTTTCATGAAATTCCAAGAAAAACAGAAGGATTGTATTGTATTTTTCTCTTTTGTTTTATTTACAGTTTTATGGCAGCAGATACCATTGCCTTTACACATTTATATCATATGACTTTAGAATACTACTACCATGGCTCATTTGTCAGCTTATTATACTCTAGTGGCTTGTGTGTTGCTATGACACTGGACACTATGTCATGAGTATTTTAAATACTAGCAGTCACTCATCATGGACAGGTTTCAGCAGCGCTCCTAGTCTAAGAGAGAATAGGAAGAAGGAGAGGCAGACTACTTCTGAAAACCTTACAAATAGCAGTGGAGCATTGTCAGATACAGTGCCTGAAGATGAAAACCCTATGAATGGCAGTAAAAGCAGCATTGTCAGATACAGTGCCAGAAGATCACCTATGGTTGTGAAGCACTCAGAATATTTGAATAACTGACTTTTAGTCTATATCCTCATGAGCACAATTAAGTGTTCTATAGTATACATTGTTTGCATTGCCATCCATGACTTGTCATGACCCACACAGTCAAAAGTCTTTCCAAAGTCAATATAGCACAGATAAAACATCTTTGTGGTATTATTCTCTGCTTATAACCATAAGCCATCCTACTTCAGGAATGGTATATCCAATTCCACCTCCTTGTCTGAATCCGACTTGAATCTCTGGCAGTTGCAATTCCCTGTCAATGTTCTCTTGCAGCAGTATTGAATTATCTTTAGGAAATGTTATTTGCATGTGAGATTAATGATATTGTCCTATGATTTCAACGTTCTGTTGGGATGGGCACAAATATGGAGGTTGGAATGGGCACAGTTGGCCAGGTAGCTGTTGTCCAAATTCCTTGGCATAGATAAGTGAATGCCTCCAGTTCTCCATCAGTTTGTTGAAGGATTTAAATTTGTATTCCATCAATTCCAGAAGAATTGTTTGCCATTGCCTTCAGTGCACCTTGGAATTCTTCATTCAGTACCTTTGGATCTTGATCATATGCTGTCTCTTGAAATGTTTGCATACTGACCATTTCTTTTTAGTTCAGTAACTGTGTATTCCAACCATCTTCTTTTGATGCTCCCTGCTTCATTCACTGTTTTGCTCATAGAATCCTTCAATATTTTAAGTCAAAGCTTGAACTTTTCTTCAGTTCTTTCAGCTTGAAAAATGTTGAGAATGTTCTTCCCTTTGATTTCTAAACCCCAGGTCTTTGTACATTTACTTATAATACTTGACTTTGTCTTCTCAAACTGCCCTTTGAAATGTTCTCTTCATCTCTTTTTCCTCCTTATGTCTTCCATATGCTTTAGTATCTCTGTGCTGGAGAGCAAGTTTCAGAGTCTCTTCTGACATCTATTTTGGTCTTTTTCTTGTTTGTTGTCTTCTTAGTCACCTTTTGCTTTCTTCCTATATGATATTTTTGATGTCTTCCCCAAACTCTTTTGGTTTCCAGGCATTAATATCTAATGCATCAAATCAAGATGATCCCTAAATTCAGATGGAATGTGTTCAAGGACTTGAGGACTTGTTTTTATTTTCTTCAGCTTTTAACTTGAACCTGTATATGAGCAAGTTCCACAGTCAGTTCCTGGCCTTGTTTTGGCTGTTGGTATTGAGCTTTTCTGCTGTCTCTTCCCACAGATACAGTCATTTTGATTTATGCGTACTCCATTGTGTGAGGTCCATGTGCATAGTCATCTTTTATTTTGTTAAAAAAAAAAAAAAAAAAAAAAAATTTGCGATGAAGAAGTCATTAGCCTTGCAAAATCATATAATGTGTTCTCCAATATTATTTCTATCACCAAGACCATATTTTCCAATTACTGGTTCTTACTCTTTGTTTCAGACCTTTGCGTTCCTATCACCTGTAATTGTCAATGCATCTTGATTGTGTGTTTGATGAATGGCAAACTGAAGAACTTGTTTTTTGTTGTTTTTAAGTAACATTGAGTCCGTTTTGACAATAGTGACCCTGTATAGGGTTTTTGAGCATGTAGAATTCTTTAATTTCACCATCACTGGTTTTATTGGTTGGTGGGTAAATTTGAATTATAGTGGTATTAACTCGTCTTCCTTGTTGTTAAGTGCTGATGAGTTAATTTTGACTCATAGCATCCCTGTATAGCATTTCCAAGGAGTGACTGTTGTATTTGAAGCACCAACCTTGTGGTTATCAATCCATTGCTGATCCTATAATGTCACACCAGGTCTTCCTTATTGGTATATGAATATTATCCTATCATAGATAGCATTATACTTCAAGATAGGTCTTGACATTTTTTTTGGTTTTTTATGGTGAATGTGATGCCATTCCTCTTCAATTTGTTATTCCTAGCATAGTAAACCATATGATTGTCTGATTCAAAATAACCAATTTTGGCTCACTAATGCCTATGTTATCTATCTTATTCATTCCATTTCATTTTTGACAACTCCCAATACTTCTGAATTCGTATTTCATATATTCCATGTTTTGATTATTAATGGATATTTGTAGCTGTTTCTCCTCATATTGAGTTGTGCCCTTTCAGCAAATGAAGGTCCTGAGAGCTTTACTCCACTTGCATCATCAAATAGCAGGCAGCTATTCCTCAGTCATATTTTGAGGTCTTCCAAAGTTATGTGCTCATCTTCTGTCATTAAAGCTGACAATATTCTTGTGCTATTCATAATGTTTCAATATTCAATATTCTGGTATTATCTGTCAGTGTTCTACTGTTATCCATAAGGTTTTTAGTGGTTAAACATTCAGAAGTTGTCTGCCTCTCCTTCATCCTAGTCTGTCTTAGTTTGGAAGGTCAGCTGAAACCTGTCCACCATGAGATACTCTGCAGTTATTAAAAATACCAGTGGCATAGCTTCCAGCATCACAGCAATACACAAGCCACCACAGTATGACAAACTGACAAACAAGTGATCTTAATGAGATGAAGACAAGTGTATCACTGCGAGAAATTGTCTATAGCCATCCACTAATCACAGAGACATAGTGATACATGTTTTATTTAGAATAAACCCATGTGTGTAGGATCTAGAATCCTGATGTGGTTTTTATTTACCCTCATATATACTACCCTCATTACTCTAGTTTTGTATCTGGGTACAGACGATCCCTGGTGGCACAGTGGGTTGAACATTGGATTGCTAAGCAAAAGGTCAGCAGTTTGAACTCAGTAGCTGCCTCTTGGGAGAAAGATGTCAAGGTTTACTTCCGTAAAGATTTACAGCTGCGGAAACTCTGTATGGGGTTGCTATGAGTCGGAACCGACTCCACGGCACACAGCCACCACTACCAGATCCTATAGAGTCGTTCTAATTCATCCAAAGAGTTACTAAACGTTTGATTTTATTCAATGGCAGTGGGTTTGGCTTGGGTTATTCTTCTCTTTAAGGAGCCCTGGTACAATAATTTAGTGCTTAGCTGCTAAATAAAACATTGGTGATTTGAACTAACCAGTAGCTTCTCAGGTGGTAAACCTGACAATCTGCTTCTGTCAAGACTCCAAAACCAAAAACCCAAATTGAGGGCCACTGAGTTGATTCCCATTCATAGACTAGCAAATCCTATGGGGCAATTCTATTCTGCTGGGAGTACAAATCAACTTGATGGTACATGACAATATTCTTATGTTTATCCTTCCCAGTTGGTTTTGATAGTTAAAGCTTTTGTATACACTCCATATAGCCTTTTTGTTTTGTTTTGTTTCCCACTCAGAGATAACATTGTTGACTTCAAACTGTGGGTGGTTGGTTAAATAGGAGTGAGCTTTAAAAAGCTCATGGAAACATTCTAACATCTTTTAATTCCATTTTCCCATGAACTATCTGAAGCCCCCTCATACGCCATGATATATATAAACTCATTCATTATAATTTTGAAATCATTTCATATCTGTGCAATCTGCATTGACTTGAATCTAGGAAAATGATTTTCTAAATGTGAAATTTTGGGTTAAAATAATTGACTTTCTAACTTGCCCATCACTGTGTGATTATCAAAGGGCAGCATCAGACCTAGATGTTGTTTGGTTTAGCCTTGTAAGTTTTCAGTATTCAATGTGCTACCCTAACAGCAGTTCCAAATGTGTGATCTTAGAGCTACTAAAAGATGTTATCCCCCTGTACAATTGCCATGAGCACATCCACTGCAGTTAAAATCTAAAAGCAGTTATTTTGTTAATGTTCAGATTAGATCTTTAATTAAGCTTTCATCCCCAGTAGCCCAGACAACAATGTCAAACATGCAGGCCCCAGGAGAAACCAAACTCATTCTATAGTCTCATATCTTTCAGTATTTTGTGAAGAAACTTAAAAATAAAACTCATGGTAATTTTCTAAGGGCATGTTGAGTATCTAATTGTAAGCATAGACATACAATTTAATTTGGATTTCAAGTATTTTTGACATGAGTTGAACCGATGAAAATATTTATTTTGGTGATTTATATGGTCATCTGATTTTTAATCAATTGCATTTTGTTATAGATATTTAATGTTATCCCTAGGAAAAAAAAAGTTTTTTGTTTATCTACAGAGCTTAATGGAACCAGAGCTTAGCTGTAGTTCAAACCAGTTAAGTCATGGCCAAAGAAACAAAACAGAATTTTCAAAATGTGGGTGCCTAGAATGATAACCAGAATGGGAAAAATTGAGTCAAAGCCCCAGAAGGCAACTCAGATGAGGTGCAATGGACCCTTTCAGGAGCTTGATACCAGGATTCTGGCAAATGACCCACATTTAAAGTGGTGCAGTTGGCTGCTATTTTGAGCAGCATATGGTTATTCTCATTCTGTTGGTCAAGAGACTTGTTTGCTATGCAACCTGTATTCTACCCTTGGTTTCTAAGAGGGAGATCAAGTTTCTAGCAGGATTTCAAGCTGTACTTTTCCCTGTTTTGGTTACTGCTCCAGGCACCCACATTTTGCAAATTCCAGTGTGTCCCACTTCATTAGCCTTGACTAAACCAGCAAGAACTGATTAGAAGTCCTAAGGATAAGTGAAATTTTAATTTTGTTTATCTGATTGACATTTGAATGTGTGCACAGATAAGATGCTAAAGCCAACAAAGAAACAAACAAACTGCTAAATGTACAGCAGCAGAACTTGTATCCATGTAACTTTGTGTTTGTTTTCTCAGGGTCTTTTATTTATTTTGGGACACATCGACCTCCTGGGGTGGCTAAGCTTGGAAGTCCTGTCCTTACAAAATCACTCATGGCCTCTTCCCCATGCCAGGTAATCAACTATTCTGAATTTCCATCAATTGTTCTGTAGTTTCAGTCTTTTAGGCCTGGGCTACTTATGCTAGTTAAACGCCTTCTATATTTTACTACCAATTTTCATAATGAATTGAGAGAGAGATGAGCTATTTCAACATGAAATGTCATGTCCTGCTAGAAGATCATTTACAGCATATAATTTGTACCATTCTTTTAGGGGTTCAATAAAGAAGCTTTGTATCATTTTGTATTCTTTCAATAATCTAAAGCTGTGGATACATGTTGCCAAAATTGGTTGTTATTTTGGTCCACCGTGTTAAGTGAGTAAAATAAAATTGGTTAAATAAATGTTTGTTGAAAGAAAATGGTATGATGAATAGAGATAACTATATACAGAAAAAATACATTCACTAAAAATTTATTGTTTTAATTAGTCCTTCTGGCAGCTGGTGAACAGAGACCAAGCAGTAAGTCAATTTTAAAAACACAATAGGAAGAAAAGTGATGGACTTTAGAGTCAGACATAATGTGTTTGTTCTGCCGGTTTTTCTGAAATTTGGAAAGAAACATTATGAAATTGTTAGAAATTCCTCAGATTCATTGAGGAGAATCATATTTCTTTTCTTTTCCAACATAACCTACAGTTCCCATTACTGCATACTCATGATTTGTGACTATTGGGCTTTACTTTCTCATTTTTTTCCTCTTGAGGATGTTTTTCTCTATTTTTGCTAGTATTTGGAGCTTAGCTCTGGGCACTTCTTAGGTCTAAGTGTAAGTGCTGTGATAGTTTAGATACTTGATAGCTTATATCTCAGAACCAAGACTTCTTTCCCCCTAAAATCTTGATGCTTAGTGATGTGCCTCAGTTTTGGAAAACTGAGAGTGCCTCAGGGAGTTACTAAAAAAGATAAGGTTTTTTGGTTTGTTTGTTTTAATGTCTGCATGTGCTTGAATGCTAGCAATTTTTAAACTTAAGAAAGGAGGCATATTTGTTCTACTTTACAATAGTTTCCTACTTAGGAAATAGAGCTAATGTAATGTACATAGCTAATGTTTTCTCTAAAAATATATTACTCTTTTATTCTCAATAATATGTCATCATTTTTCCATAAAACTTTTAGAATAAGCAAGCAAATGAAATTCTTATCTTCCTGAGTAATCAGAAGCTCTAGCTAATCAGCCTAATTGGAACATATTGATGATAACTGTTTTCATGGAACAATAAATATTGTTCATAATAAAATAGTAAAATGAGACAGTGAAATAGCCAGAGTTGGATATTTTGATAAGAAGCAAGTTTTCATTTTACGAAATTATATGTTTTTTTTTTTTTTCCTCAATAGCATCACATCATCTAATACCATTAGGATTTTTTTTAAGACGTTAAAGGAACATGAGCTCTCTTTTGAGTCTCCTTTTCTAACAGCTACTTTTAGGGTCATTTTGCATGAACCTAACCGACTCCATGGCACATAACAACAGCAACAACATCCTGTGCACAGTTGTTTCTGCAACCAATTATTGTTCAATGTGTAGATTTTAGTTAAACATTTAATTAAATGTCCCTTCAGCCACTGGTGAATATTTGGCAATTTTCCTTGGACTAGCCAACAGATAGGACAAATAGGACATCTGACAACTACAAGCTACTTATTGTAGCTTATTGATGTTGAAATACATTACGTGTTTTCAATTAACTAGGAAATATCAAATATAAAGGTGATTCATATATGTGTTAATGGTTTCTGAGGTATCATATTTGAGTTACTGTACAAAGACATACTATTTGATTTTTAGGACCACAGTGAAATAAGGGAGATTGGTAATATGACATTTTATCTCTACTGTAATGTGTGAGATTATTTTTTTTAAGTCATTAAGGAAATCTGAACAAAGATGGATGAAGCAAAAAGTGAGCTGGTTCCTGTTGGGGACCACTAGCACTGAGATGCTGAGGCCCTGTGTCATGGACGAAAATCCAACGCGAAGGCCCCACTCAAGATTGCTAGCCAGGGACCCTGAGGGCCAATGGAAGTGACCTTCGGACGTCCCGGGTTCATAGGCTTTTACGAACTCATTGGTGGGCTATCTCTGTATAATTTTCTTTGGTCTTATTATTCATTCTATGTTTCTAACTCCAGTAATTGTAGCTTCTGAGAAAATGGTTTCTTATGTGCCTCTCTTAATGTCTCCACTGTGTTGGCAGTGCGTAGGGTCCTAGGAACAAATCTCTCTGAGAAACAAACTCTGGCCACCTGGCAAGCATGTCCAAACTGTTCTTTATCAAATTATTCAGTTATGTTTGATATTAACTTAATAAATGAGCCCTGGATACCCATGGACAAATATTAAAACAAAAACCTCTTCTAAAGCCAAGGCCGTAAAAGTTCCAAAAGAAAGTTTGCTAGGATTCCGCAAAGAGGCTCTGGAGACAATCTGCCCAGGGAATTCACTCAAAGTAGATTGGCAAATTCCAGAGTATTGTTCAAGGAATAATAGTGACAACCTCCTCAGACTGTCCCCAGGTGTAAACCATTAACCCAGACGTCCTCCTTCCTCCTGAAAGCCTAAGCCAGGTAGCGTGACTCTCTTCAGACCTTTTAAATCCTTTTCACCTTTACCCATTAGAGATTAAGTGCTATAGGTATGTTAATTAGCCTTGAGAAACCTTTAGCTGCTGCCCTGGGATTCGAACCTGAAAAGTATTATATAAATTTGCTTGAATTTCTGGAAAATTAAGGATGTCAGATTATCAAGACAATTTGTGATGTATATTTTAGAATTTGTTCCTGTAAATCATTGTGTCCTGTTTT